ATTAAAAATATCCGTCAGTCTCTCTGGGTAGTAAAGTGTATACATAATTTCCTGTGGCACATAAAGATCATGCACACTGTGACGGGAATGATATGATGCAGATCATTGCCACTTATATTAGTATTTTTGGAACCCTATTCGGCATGCTTGGCATTTAAATTCCGGCCTACAATAATAGGTATGTTGTGGAGGATAATGTAGGAAACGGTGCTTTTAGTAAGCCTCTTATTTAAAGAGTTTAAAGAGTTGAACTGGAGGGAACGGTTACAGCCGAAAACATCGCGGCAAAAACAACGCGGACGAAAACGTCGCGCAGAAAACGCAAGGCGAAAAACGTCGTGCACAAAACATCGTGGGAGAAACCATCGCAAAGAGAAACATCGTAATTCTAAAACATCTCGTGGTACAAATATCGTTGCCGAAAATAAAGCGATTCAAAAACTTCGCAGTTTAAAAACATCGTCGTCGAAAATATCGTGGTAAAAATAAAGCATCTAGAAATGATCGCATGACGATAACATCGCTGATACGATTTTTTTCAGGCTTTAATAACGTAAAGGATATTCCCATAATGATTTGTGAGCGCAAGATGGAAAGAAGAACAATTTTACTTTCATATTTTTATTAACTAATAAATTTTTGCTGATAAAGTAAGAAGGAAACTTAAAAAAAAAAAAAATTAATGCAACTTATAGCACTTAATGAAATTTTAAACCGACATAGTTAACTAACAAAGGCCAGTAATAAATCGTTTTCATAAAGTTTTTACTGGTAATTTTTCATGAAAAAGTGCAATCTAAAAAAGACAAGAAAAAGGAAGGCAAGTAACTACATGTCCTTATCTATAAAAAAAAAATTGCTTCTGTAAAAAATAAAAAAACTTTATAAGCAAAAATTTATTAGTTAATAATAAATATAAAAGCAAAAATTATCCTTCTTTCCATCTTGCGCTCACAAATCATTATGGGAATATCCATTTACAATTATTAAAGCCTGAAAAAAGCCACTTGTCTGCGATGTTATCGTCATGCGATGACTTGTAGATATTTTATTTTTTACCACGATATTTTCGACGACGATGTCTTTAAACTGCTTTATTTTTTATATTATTAAGTTTTTGAACCGCTTTATTTTCGACGACTATATTTTGTACCACGATGTTTTAGAAGTGCGATGTTTTCTCTTTGCGATGTTTTCTCCCACGATGTTTTGTAGCACGACATTTTCGTTTTGCGTTGTTTTCTCCGCGACGTTTTCATCCGCGATGTTATCGGCGGACACCGGAAGGAACAATATGTCACGTGGTCTAGAAGCATGATTTAGAGAACCACAATCCCGTAACATTTGCTACTGTCTTGGAACAGCAAAGAAAATTTAAGAATTTTTTATTTACATAAATAAAAATCTAAAAAGACGTTAGAAATAAAATTTGGCATTTGCGTTGTACCTAAAGAATTGAAGACTATTTTGTTTGTCTCTCTATCGAACTCCTAACATTTGATTGACAGTGTTTTGAATTATGAACCTAATAAAGCAGCTGCAACGAGACTATTTAACTAAACACTGGGACTTTCCCGGGGTGTAGATTCCATGATGGAATCGGATCAAGGACAAAGAATCCCAATGAAGGCAGACTATGAGAATATATCCACCGATATTCTAATCAGTGTTGCTGTAACTGTAGAAACCCATAATAACTGATTGCTTCACAAACAAAATGAACTCCACTTCATGACCAGGATACTTTCAATTTAATTGCCTATAGGCGCATGAAAGAATCAATTACTTCCATCTTAAACAATACTAGTAAGTCCACACCAAAAGCTTAGGATATAACTTGTACAGATGGCAAAATTATCAAAAAACGAAGCAATCTTCCCAACGAAGAAAAAATTAACAATAACGCAGAAAATAATGAAAATTAGTTTAAACCCAAAATAACTTATAGAAGATTTTCATTAATTCAGACTTCTCAACCAGACACTGAAGAATAGAACAGATTTGTAATCCTGACATAGAAGATGAAATGGAGCATGAAACCACCAATGGTGAAACAGAGAATAATGAGAAAGCAGATGCTGTTATCATCACGAAATCACACAAAATAGCCAATCAAATACTTCCAGTTGTTATTTCTGAAGAAAGGTTCTAAGTTTTCCTCGACTGATCACAAAACTTCTTCTAAAATCGCTACTGCTAGTTAACGCTACAAAAAAGTTTGGTACTTCCCTTATTATAACGGCCCCCCAAGATTGAATCGCTAATCAACCGAGATATATCGCCTCCTCTTCTTGTACCTCGCTACACCTTCGTTTTGCAATTACCAACAAACATTTAAAAAATAAAATAGAAAATACAGTCAAATATCTATCTCCACAGGCAAAAATTTATGTGAGCACTAACGTAATTAATGTCAAAATTCATTTTTGAAGCTGCAATTCATCTAAAACTTTTATTATCTAATTATCTTAAAAACAAACCCTTGCAATAATAATGATATAGTAAAAAAAGGGAAAGAAGAGGAAGAAGATACAAATTCATATAATAAACTTTATCTCAAAGAACTATTATGAACTGTTATAAATTATGACTGTTAGTCTATTATTATTATACTAATTACAACAAATGTCGATATACTATTTATACTGTTATATTATGCTATATTATGTGTTAAATTATACTATGTACTATTTTGAATATTAACTTTAAAAATAAACCGAAGTGTAGTGGGACTACACCTATATTACTTATAGTAAACATTGGGTGTCCCGCTACATTTCCACCTGAACCTGAACCTGTACCTCGCTACATGTTATATCTCGGTTGGTTAGCGAATAAATTTGGGGGGCCATTATAACAAGGAAATACCAAAGCTTTTTGCTTCTAAATTCGAAAGATCTCATACCACCCAGTCATCTAGTCCCACACGGTCTATTATTATTCCAACAGTTAATACGAATTTTATAGTTAACATCTTTAATATTAATCTTTCGGAGGACCAAATGAATATACTGAAGTATAACTTCAAGTTTTCACAAACTTATAAAACTTTAACTCCCCAAATCATTAATTATAGCGATAATACTGTGACATTGAGCAAAATTTCATAAGAACAGAAAGATAACACTTGACGCTTAATTATACACACAACGTTAACTTTGTCTTTAATCTTACTCAAAAGTAAAAGAAGGCCTTAAGTAAAATTTATTCTAAATCAGCCATTATTATTTCCAAAGCTGATGAGGGTGGTTAAATCTTTATTATGGAGTTAAAGAAACTAATAAGTGAAGGTCGGTACTGCTTAATCCTTAAACATTCTTCGGCCTATTACTTCATATGAACTTAATAATTAAAACCAGTACAAATCATTTAATATACTTTTAACTCAATTAAACGTCTCTTCTTCCATCTACCTTTTACTACGCTAGATTTATGTTCTTTTCAAAGTTAAAAAAATTTTCAGACATTTTATCCATTAGTGTTTATCTTATGAACACTATTATGACCTCTATTAAATTATATGTATTATATAGAAATTAAATTATATATATGTGACGACGTATCCATTTAGATTATTATTAGTCCATTGTTGGTGAGCGGTTCAAAAGTGTGGAATATAGGTCACTCATCTTGAGGTCGGTCTCCGACTGCTGAAAGATTGGGTTGTGTTAGTAGTTTTACATACAGAATACAGAAATGCGTCATACATAAATGACAGCTAGTTATTTCTTCTCGGAAGTCTTACTCGAAAGCAATAAGTGCAATAAAACCTCTCTAAGATAACCACTCATAGCTCTAGATGATTTTTAGGTCCAAAGGAGCTTTGTCTCTGAAGGATTATTGTTTCCGTTTTGCGATTTTGTGTTGAATCACTATAAATGTCAGTTTCACTTTTCCAACTGTTGCCACCAAATGTTAGATATTTGAAAAAATTAAGTAAAGAAAAATCTGCATAAATGTATGTATATTTCTCGCATTGTGATAAAACAATGTACACAGAGCCATCGAATTTTGAATGACGTAATTCTCCTACGAACATGGGCATGCGGAAGACCAAATTTGAAATTTGGAATTTGTTTTACTATCGATTTCATATTTTGTAAAACCTTAACGAATTTTTGATGAACAAACTCAAGGATTTCAAAGCCAGTAATGGAAACACTCTACGGGTGTGTGTGTGTGGAAACCTTTTTATCTCCAGCGCGCGAAACTGTGTATCGGAGTTTATAAAGATATGCTTACTTTAAAATTATTTTGCGACATTGCTATTGAACTGAATTTTATGGTTTGAGTGCAAAGAACATGATATTTAATAAATAAAGGTAACATACAAAACGTTAAAAAAAACACCCCTTTGGACGTAATTTAAAATCTGAAACCTTTCAGATTTTTTTTTTTTTTTAAATAGTTGCATTAGCTGTGATATTCAGTATTGACGTTTATTTATGTTTTCAAAAACAACTGTCTCTTAAGAAGATAGGAGTCATCTGAAGAAGATAGTCTTTATGACAGGAATCGCTGTATATAACTGGACTTCTTTTATCCTAAATTTTAAACAAATACCTATACATTTTGAAATCCTTGACAAGGAGAATATTTTACATAGATACCTTTTTTCTGTTCATAGACAAAACGTGCCTGATTTCATGTGTTTTGTATTTTCATACAATATAGAAAACTAGAGTTGATGTTTTAGGAAGGATCTATTGCAATAAATTTCTGATGTATTAAAAAGATATGATCGCCATTGTTGATAGATATGATCACTCAGGACAGTTTTATAATTCAAACAAAAGCAGCTGTTTCTTCTAAAGCACAGTTCTTTTAAATTATTAAAAAGAAAATGCGTTCTAAAGAAAGAAAAATAAGTTTAACTTTTTAATTAATGAAAGACAAGTTAACCTTTTGAATTCACCCTTGTCTATCGAAAGACGATCTCAAGAGGTTGCAGTTCTCGGGCTCTTGACGTTTAAATAAAAAAATCTGAATTCTCCATAAGGAATTTACTGAGGATTTCATCATGCGTACTCAGTGGGAGATTTGTTAGTCTGAATCTAGCATCGCAATGATGTGGTTGGGGTGTTCGGTTCTTCTTTGTTTGGTGCTGTTTTCAACAATCAAAGCTCAGTGAGTAGATTTATTTTCAAACATGTCTTTAAAATAATCTGTTACGGCAATATCGGAGTGACATTTAATGTGCCTATATACATATGTATAGATGTATTTTTTTCCAAGTGTTTCAGAGGTTGAACGAAACCTAAATTAAAAAAGTTTTCGAATCTCTAGAATTATTTTGATTAGAAGTGGAAATAAAAAAATGTAATATTAAATTTATTAATTAAATCAAAATTTAAAATTTTCCTTTAATAAAAAGCAAATTTTATTTATTAAGGGGTAATGCAGATGAAATTTAGTAAATGAATTACATATTTAAAAACTTTTGAATCTTGAGTTTCATTTTCTCATCATAGCTAAACAAGCTATATTTGATTAATAATTTAAATTTGTGACATTCTTCCGGAATTTTTTAAAAATTACAGTGAGTGAAAAGGTGGGAAGAAGAATTATTTCGTAAATAAACAAAGAGAAGCTCTTAACATGGAACGCTAAATTCTCTCCCCAAAATTAAGAAAAAAGTGGTATATTTAGGATTTTTCAAGTATATCTATCTATTGATGATCCAAATAAAAACGCAACCTTTTATCTATATTGCTTATAATTAAGATATATGGCTTAAAATTTTATTATACTGATTTTTATGTAAACCATTGTCTACAAATTAAGCAAGGGCATATGTTGAATATTCAGAAAGGGTTTGTTGTTTAACACCAAATTTTTGGTAAATTATATTATTGTATTATATTATTTTTAGTAAATTATTTTATCGACTGCTTTAAAATTAACATAAAAGTAAAGACATTAAGAGAAACTGCAGTTTTTACTTCCTTGTGCGAAGTAAAAAGGAACTGTAATCGCGAAAAATTTTGGTTATCATATTTCAATGAAAACATACATTTTGATCGCTATCGAATACAATTTAACGATGTTTTTGCGTGACATTTGCACGTAAGGACAGAATAAAGGACTCTTTTTCCCCCAAAAAATTTATAAAACTGTTTTAAAATGAATCCTGAAGAGATTTTTTCGTGGCGTCTGTACGTACGTATTAAAAACGAGTTGCCTCAGAACGTTGAAACATAGGACTGCTATAACACGCAGATGTGCACATCCCATTTTGGTTGCAATCGGCAGCACCAAAAGTATATAAATATAAATATAAATTTAACAAACATTCTCTATTCGTAAAAAGCAAATTAAAGTTAATAAATTTAAATGAAATTTATTATTGTTGCGAACTAATCTGCAATATCATTTAATAAATTCTGAGAGTATATGTAAGTCAAGTGCAAGTATAAAAATAAAATTCCAAAAATTATTTAATCCTAAAAAACGTATTTATAAAATCGCATAAGTGAATGATTGTTGAGCAGGCAGGAGACAGACTTATCAAGGGAAAGTTGCCTCCAAACATAACTCTTCAATCATTCAATTCGTGTTTCGTCATACTTGCACTTGATTTACATATGCTCTCAGAATTTAAATGATATTGTAGATTAGTTAGCAACAATAATTAATCATTTATTTGTTTGCATTAAATCATTTAAATTTAATTAACTTTAATTTCTTTTTTACGATAGAGAATGTTGTTTAAATTCAATTTCATTCCTTGCACAATGGCACAAGAAAATTATTTAAAATTAAATTTAACTTTACTTTATTCTTTTGAAGCAAATATATATATCTCCATTCTGTTACTCCGCTCAGTGAGCTCAGTTTTTTTATTCTTTTATGTTTATAAATTGTGCATTTTAAAAATGATTGATGAATTATGTTGTTCTGGTTAAGATTTTTATGCTTTTTGTTAACCTGCATCCAATAAGCGTGGAATTATCAAGAATTTAAAAGTATTTTTAAGTGCGGCTAAGCCTAATTTTTGATTACCATGGCAGTCATGTTTGTTTACATTTGTAACTTAGCAGAATAGTGGATTTGTTGCCAATCTAGAGAAACTAAGCTTCGCAACAACACAGTAACATCTTCTTTTATTATTGCAAATTAAATTATGTTTAATTAATTCTGGACTTATAATTTAAGTTATTAGCTTGTTTTGGCGTAGAAACTGTAATTTTAATTGTAAAATTTTTTTAAAATTGTTTTAACTGTATATGGTGTTTTATGTTTTTCTATACCTTTCAATTTTTAATGAACATATTTTGAATTTTTATGAATTTTTGGTTTGCCGAGAAGTGAGAACTGATTTAAATAGTAGCGCATGCGCATTAGGTAAGCAGCGCTGAAATCGCCTTTTTCCTTTTTTATTTGTTTAATTCCTTTTATACATCGTTTTAGGCTTATTATAGTATTTGAACAAAACATGTAATTCTTCAGATGACATAATTTTTGAGCACTCTGAGTTATAAAATGAATGCTAATGCTATTAAGTGAACGTAGCGCCGAAGTGTCGCTATGGTTAATAAATATAGTGAACTTTAAAGAGTGCATTTATTCTATTGTGGTTTATGCGCTACCGCGATTTGTTTAATTCAAAATTCGTTAACTGTTAATTCAATATGCTTAAATTAAATGCACTAAAATTGTGTATAATTTAATATTCCGTATAAGGAAGTCATGTGGTATACACATCAGATTTTTTAGTGTTGTGATCATATGACTACTTTATTTCAACTTTTTAGCGAATCAAGGTAATAGGAATAGCCTTAAGATTAAAAAAAATAAAAAATTTTTTTAACGTTTTTTCCATTAAAAATTTATTTGAGATGAACTTTTTTTAAATTTACAATTTTATTTTAAATTAAATTTTTTTTGGAAATTTTTAATGTTTTATTTATTATTAATATCTGATTCAGCAAGCAACTTTCAGTGCGGCCGTTATACTTTATTAGGTAGTAGTGCGCGTCATCTATTAATGAAACGCTACACGAAACCTTTTGTATGCTATCGCACACAAGCAGATTCGTTAGAATGTAGTTTTATGACAGAAATCTGTACCTTAAAAATAACCTTTAAATAAGAACAATAAATTAAAATATTTCGTGGTTCGGATTATTGCTAAGTTTATTTAATAATTGTTTAAAGTCCAGCTTTTTCTAAACTTCAACAAAAAAAAAAAAAAAAAAAAAAAAAAAAAAAAAAAATTGGGGATATTAAAAAAGAAATTGCTTTTCATTTAGAGAGCTCACAAATTTAGTTTTATTGTAAGAACCAGATCTTTTGTCTTTCTACTGGGATATATTATAACTTCACGGTAAACATACATATAATTTCGCAATACGCATAAGTATAATTTCACTCACAATACACGTTACAAATTTTTAATTAACATTCTAATTAGAACAAAAATCCTAATACTGTTGTGTACTAACTGATTATGCTTTTTGAGAAGCAAGCTACGGAATCGCTGTTTTACTTCTATAGTATTCGTTTGCATGCCGCCTAGACGGTATAGTGGTTAGGGTCGCATAACTGCGAAACCGAAATATGAAACTCCGGGTCCGAATCCCGGAGAAAGCATGGACGTAAAATTGTTTATTCTTTCATAGGAGGTAACGGTGGCCGGCTGTTAGGTGCCACCACAATAAAATGGGCTTCACCTCTGACCTTAGGAGTGGCCAATGCCTTTATAGGCAAGTGCCTGCCATTGGAAAAAAGTATTTATTTATATTATTTGGAATAGAAGACTAATCAAAATCTCTAAAATCCAAATGAGAAAGATTCTGATCATCCTTGCAGGAATTTGTTTTTGCTGATTCAAATGAAGATCTCTTCTAGATTGGTCTTGTGCTGAAAGGTCTGGTCTTATTTTAACACTTTGCGGGCCGCGCATTTATCGAAGCGCCGTTACGCTGCCGTCGGTTCACGCAGGTTCTACTGCTCACCAACGGTGATATTTACGCAATTTTTCGAAACATAAGTAGTTGGTATATAATTACTATTAAAGAAAGCACTAAAATAACTGTTACACTATTTTATTCCAATTATATTTTTTAATTAATACTAAAACGTTTTATTTAAAAAGTTTAACTCCTAGGATCTATAGTTCTTTTTAGTATGATAATTCTAAAAACATTTTCCAACATGCAGAGAAACGTTGCAGGAAGCACACATGTATGTATTGGAACTTCTTTTCTTTTCGGCAGTGCAGACTTTACAGGCCCTTCGCGGGTTTTGAATTCTCCCATTATCACTAATACGTGTTATTCTATGTTTTCTCATGTTCGTAGTAAGTCTGCCTGGTGGATCAAACCTCGGCGATCTTTTATCACATTGAGCAGCCGATCTTGATTGTTGCTCCTCTTCATTCCCATTAATCCCCTGCTAGTGCAAGGTTTAGTAAAAATTGTTTGAATCTAATAGGATTTTCAGAATTTTTTTGATGTATATCTGGAACGCGTTGAGTAATGCACAGTTTTATGAGATATAAAAAAACCGGTTTTTTTTGTCCATTTTTTGTTTTGCGAAGTATGGAATAACACGATAGGTATTGATCGGCGGGATCAACACCTTTCATAAATTTATTATACTCTTGTATGCAAATTGTTTTAATGCACTTCTTTTTGGTTCTTTTACTCACACATTCGATCATGTCTGCTGAAGTTATCGTACTAGAAATCATCATTATCAATTTTTGGCCGAATTCCATTTTTGTACCATAATTTTCCCTTTCTCCGAAATTCCATTGACTTATTTTTCATGTAGCAGATTTTAAACAATTTGGCACTCCTCTGTTTACTCTAATTGTGGCACAGATGTTTGTTTTATGCTTTAGTAACTCCTCTGCAACCTTTACACATATTGTAATAGTTGTTCCACATACATTGTGCCATAAATTTAAATATGGCGATAGCACGGACAATATTGTTGCAGTTAGCGATTTTCCTTGCGCGCAATATATTTCTAAATTGCATATATAACCAGATGTCGCCTCACACACCATAACGAACTAAAATTCCATATTTTATAATTTTCGCAGGATTATATGTACGAAAAGATAGCCTGCCCCTCCATGGAATGATACCTTCATTCCAGCGATAATTCTTTCTCAAGTT